TCATTTGCGAAAACTATGGGAAGAGGTAGATAGAGAAAAATCCTCGCCTCCGGGCAGGCGAGACCAGGGTTTTGAGAACATTGATTCAAAAAAATCAGCTTAGTCTCATGAAAAACCAAAACAAACGATGAAAAGTTTCATCAAGATGTATGATTTGTCCTCGAGCTAAAGACAGGAAGATATTTACCTGCTGTCAGAAACGTGGGACATCCATATGCATGGGACATGCAAATTTATCTTTTTTGTCAAAACTGCATCGACTTTGATGCAGCCTAAAATTTTATGTATTCACTCTTTAAGGATAATTTTTTCAACACGATAATGATTTATGCTTTTTGATTTAAAGGGTTGAACTTTTTTTTGTCCAGAACTCATTAAATAATTTCAAAACCAATAATAACTTCGCAGTATGTTTAATTTGATAAAAATACAGATTTACAATGATTATGTATTATGAAGCATTGAATAGAAAATCTAAGAGTCCGTATCATGTTTTTATTGAAATTAATTCCATATGTAAGGTAAACAAGCTAATTATAGTTATTTATGTATCAAGGGAATTATGCAGGTGTTAATACCCCAGGGCAACGTTTGTGTCCCGAGGGCCTCCGGCCCGAGGGACACCAATTGCCCGTGGGTATTAACTCCTGATAATTCCCGTGGTACATAGATAATTTTATATCCTACTGAATTTACTGTATTCTGTCTATTTTTATAAAGGAATAAGCCATAAATCAAAATTTCTATTTTTTGTCAAAGTGTTACCTATTCAAGGTAAAAGCGGGAGTTATGGAAATCCTTAACTCCCTTGGGAGTTATGATATCCTTAACTCCCTTCCTTAACTCCCTTGGGAGTTATGAAAATCCTTAACTCCCTTGGGAGTTAAGACCCTGTTTATGATTATCGTAACCAAGGTATTATATGGTTTTAATAGTTCAGTAGGATATAAAATATTTTATATCCTACTGTACTATTATAACCATATAATACCTTGGTTACGATAGTCATAAACAGGGTCGTAACTCTCAAGGATTTCATAACTCCCGCGCGGGAGTTAAGGATATCATAACTCCCAAGGGAGTTAAGAATTTCCATGACTCCCGCTTTTACCTTGAATAGGTGAGGTGAAACTTTGACAAAAAATAGAAATTTTGGTTTATGGTTTATTTCTTTATAAAAATGGACAAAATACAGTAAATTCAGTAGAAAATAAAATTATCTAAGTACCACGGGAATTATCAGGTGTTAATACCCACGGGAAAACTTTGCCCTGGGGTATTACCACCCTCATGATTCCCTTGATACATAAATAACTATATTTGATGCCACCTTAATTCAGTGGCGGCTCGTGGTATAACATATTGGGGGTGCACATAATTTGTAATTCATAATAAATGCCGAAAGGGGGATGCCCGCCGGAGGCGCGAAATTTTTCGGGGTGCCACGCCCAGAAGTGTTTATTTTAGGCCTTTAAAAAAATAATTTATTATAAGTGATCGTATGAGTTATGTGATGTGTTTACCTACCAATAATTAAAAATATTGTTAAGGGATTTCATATCTACCCTACCAAACAACCAACTAAGCTCAATTTAATACTTTTTTCGGTCTATCAAATCGTGGAAATTGAAGGATCTTATATCAATAAACTAGAAATTAAGTAACAAAGTAACTTACCTCGCTGAGTACATCGTCCTGGTCTAACAATTGTTTTTATACATAAATGTATTATAGTTTTCAATCTCACAATTCTCACAGACACGTTTTGTATTGAAAGATAAGAGTAAGATGTGATTTTGAGTTTTGATGTTTTTTAATTTTTTCGGATAAATGTACTAAATCTTTAACGCCGGATTTTGTCCATTCTGATGCTTCATCGCTTCCAAATAACAAACAGGGAAAACAGTAAAGACTATTACTAACATCACAACCGCACAACCAGTCAGTTTTTTCGTAAGTTTCCATTTTAAAAGTTCGTTTATAATCACGACTTTTGCATTTTGTTATGTTGGTGATTATTAAATTTGGCTTTGGACGGCCGACACATTTGATTTGGATTTTTTCCTCCAAAGAAAGCGAAGAAAATTTAATTGTTTTTAAATATTGCACGCTAAGGCTATCGGGGTTCAGAAATCCCGCCATTCTACACACAGTTTTCAGTTAAATCGCGCTCGAAATCGAAATAAATATAAAACAACCGATTCCGATCCCAAAGTGCACTGACTACATGTGCACACCAGCCAGCTTAAAACATCGAACGTCGCTGGACCTTCGCGGGGAACAAAGAGTGCGGGGGGGCATAGTTCTACCAATTGGATTTAATATTGAAATGTGCAGTGAACGGGGCGATCAGGCGACGCGGTGGACGCTGTGATTCCAGCGATACCGGTTGCGTTTGTTTTGCTGGCGCATTTGGCCACTAATTTTTTAAATTAATACTTTACAGGTAGAATGTTAAAATTTGAAGAATGATAAAATTAAATTTAAAGTTGTTTGATATTAATTTGGGAGTGCACGTGCACATGTGCTCTTATGGAGGAACCGCCACTGCCTTAATTTGGAACCCCACCACACTAACAATGGAACTTTTTCCTACCACACATTTCGGGGCCACTTTACACAACACTGACCGTTCTTTTTTTTTTTCTAAGAAATTTATTTATTTGTTTAAAACCGAATATGTCGTAGTTTCCCGGATTATCGGGGTCAACAGATTCGGTATAAGAATGTGAGGACATATCTATATATATAAAAATGAATGCCACTTTTCGTTGTAATTTTATAACTCAAGAACGGACTCACCTAGCCAAACCAAATGTTTAGGCTTTGTTCGGACTATTTATTAGATGGTTTATGTGAAGTTTGCACAAAATCGGTCGAGCGGTTCTTCATTTATCACATTTTTTGTAATAAATTAATTATTCAATAAATGGAGGATCATTTTGCTGTCAAATTGAAACTTTTTTCAGCGTTGACAGTACCAGCATGTTGTTATGTCATTAATGTGGTCATTTCATTACTTATTCTTTATTCTATTTATTTATGAAAAAAATTTACTAAGCCCGCATACGGCGCCATGTCTTATAACCGATACCAAGTTTATTTTGTAATTTGTATTTTGTATACAGCGCCATCTCTGACACAAAAATCTCTGATACCTGGAACGAAGCTCGGCATTGCAGATACAATAGAACAATGCTGCACAGAACTATTCCACTATTCCGATCAGATAGAGTGGTGCAGAAAGAGTAGGTCAGATAGAGTAGTGCAGATAGAGTAGAACAGATAGAGTAGTGCAGTGCATGCAGTGCAGATAGAGTGAAATAGGGCTGCGCTAGAGATTTTTTTTGTTTTCTTTACATTCTTTGAACATTCCTGTGCCTGAGTTTATTTATTTGGTGGTACACTTTACAAGAATAATGCCCACAAGCTGCCTAAAAAAGGATGATGTAAAATTTTAATTTTAGGTGACTTCTGATCCAGAGAGTAAACATTAATTTTCTTCAACCAAAGCCAAATTCACCATCGAAAAAAACTGAATTTAATTCAGCTAATAGATACGTTAACACAACATTTAATAGGTACCTATATTTAATACTTCAGACGCGGTACGAAGTTCGCCGGGTCAGCTAGTAAATCAATAAATTAAAGGATGCCGAAACTCGTGTCGGCCCTAAATCACCAATTCTATTTTTCCCAGGTCACTAGAGTATTGCCTTTTTCTAACGTCCAGTTGGGGTCGCTTTTCCATGCATTATGCGCTCTTATTTTTTTTTCCTACACGGTCACGGTCTTGAGCTTCAGTGCCGTTCTCATCAAACCAGTTTTAATGTTTCTTTTGTATGTAGCCGACAGATATTATTGCGGTCTTCAATATTGTTCAGTGCTCCTCAATGCTTTATTACCTTGCCAAATGGGCAAAGTAATTTATTACTACACAAAAAGGTGGCTGAGGTACTCCAATGACTAATATCGAGCAATCGAAGCTTCGTTTTTAGGGTGTCCGACTAACTTTCACAGCGTAGAGTGGGGTGGGTTAACTCAAAAAGGCGCCACATGTTTTACTTCCCTGCAGTCAAACGAAGCTACCTATCATAAACAAAAACAAGAAACACTCAATCTTACAATTAAGATTGTACCTATTTAGGTTTTTGCAGTGCTTCCAATGAAGCACTGCAAAAACCTAAATAGGTATCACAGAATAAAATGAAATGAATGAACTTAAAATCTACTCTGGTGTATGATTTTTATTTGCCAAAAAAAATAATTAGGTATTTAAAGGCAGCAATCAGCTGAGGTGCACCAAAATTGAATCAACCCAACGTTGAGGTTCAGGGTTCAACCCTTGTAAATAATAAACAATCTATTAGCTAATCTAGGCTGTGATAAACTTGGCAGAATAGAACCATAATTACATTAAATCACCAATAAAAGCTTTCATAAGTAAGTACTACTTAGTTAAAGTAGTTGAGTAGGGTAAAGGGGTATTACCTTAATATTCCAACCAAAGGGATATTTGTAAAAGTAAAATAATGTGAAATGTAATGTACAATCAAATAATTCTTAAGATAGGGATAGTTAGGTATATTTAAGTAATAATTTATAATCCGAAAATAATTACCTTCGTAAACAAGCCCGTTTAAAACCAGTTTACAAAGCGCATAACCAAAATATACACCTAAAAACCTTAAATAATAATAATTATAAAGCCTTAGCTAGAGGTGACATTACAGACAATGCACTTTTGGTTGTTTCAATTAAGGGGGCCATTAATCAGATCAATGGTGACAAAACTTATAAAACTGTATTCCAGAGGTCGGCAAATAAAAATATAATGGTAGAGCGTAGGCACTGATGGTTCCCAAACAAACACCACACAGCAAACCTGCTTCTATAGCTTCGGATGCTCCAGTAAGTCTTTATTTTTCGAACTTATAGCTATCAGGCAGACTTCTAATATTTAGGGCGGATTGGGTATATGTACTATATGACTTTGGCCCATGAACATCCAATTCCAACCAAAAACAGCTTGTGAGTGTCAGTATAATAGGATCCAGAACAGGACTCCACAGGAAGAAGAAGGCCTAAAACCATACGAACACTATTCAGATCTTGACAAAGAGGGTAGGCTATTAATTAGTATTTTATGGGTAATCTTGATTGACACACCGAGATCGTATGTGTGAAAATGTGGTTTTGAATTCAAAATTTTCCACTTTAAAATCTTTAACTTGCTAAGGCACTATTAAACAGTAATAAGCTACCTTTCGGGAAATAATTCACCACAAATTAGGTGAGGAAATTGGTAAAAATTCCCGGAGAAAAGCCAAAAGCAGCCTGCTTCTTCTCTGCTCACTTACAATCTGTCACTTTTTTTTGGTAGTTTTGTACCATAAAGGAAAATTCAGAATTTTGAAAAATCTAGGGACTTTACGTTTGTACGATTCAAATTTTCGCGCACTGTCTAGTTTAAGTTAATTAACTCATCTAATATTCGATAATTATTCTTGCTCAAATTTATTCGACTGGTGAACTTTTACCATTAAATTGAAACTTGATCTAAAAAAAAAACAATAAAATTTTTCAACATTCCATAGATGCATTCCAAAAGAGAATTTACTCGATTTTGACCTTTATTTCTACTGACAATAGGGACTTATTATTATTTTATTAAATTATTTAAAATACGGACCATAAAATTATGAAATGAATTGAACTTTCAAAAATTACGAAACTGCCAACAAACAAAACGAAAGAAACTTTGATCAATTTACTAAATTAAGGAAGAGGAAAGTTCAAAAATATTAGTTTGGTCGGAAAATATCAAATTGCCACTGATAAAAATTTCAACCCGTAACAGCTTTCCGAGTACTCTAACGGAATTTTCTGGCTTCGAAGTTTGTCCTGATATAATTGTCTTGAAGGCGTTTTATGCTGAATTTGCGTTTGAACTGCTTTTCTTGTCATCTACGCCTTGGAGGGATGCGCAAGTTCATTTTGGCTCGTATCAGCCGATGGTCAGTCCAGCAGTCATGCCAACTTGTTAAAGCTCTCGTAATGCATACGTCATTTCGGTCTCTAGAACGTATGTACAATTATACATTGTATGATCGATTAGATGCCAGATGCCAGTGCTTTGACCTAGGGTGTTGCCAGGAAGTCTCGAATTTATTATTTTGTCGAAAAAGTGTATTCGGTATAACAAGGTCATATTCTGAGTCCGAGTTCATCCTTCCGACGCCGGTGGGTACTAAATGACCATGTTGTGAAGTGCCTCGCCCCGAAAAGCACCTCTGGATCCGCCATTGGAACACTGAAATCAAATAGATTTTATCAATGAAAAAAAGAAACACTTTAGAGATGTTTACCTTCGTCTACCCAATGTTCACAATTTACGTGCAAAATGTGTCAAATCCATACAGTTTTTCTGTAACTTTACATAACTTTTTAAGTAGCACAAAAAATAGTGTGTATACCATGACGGCGAAACTTTTCAGCATCCTTGAAATTATCTTGCCTCGGCCGCAACCGCCTCGGCGATATTTTTTCTCTACGTACGCTAAAAAGGCATTTCGCGGCCTTGGTATACAAATAATTATTATGAAATGAAAAATTCTAGATAAAATAAGGTCTATTGCTGCAAATATCTGTATAGCATTGTACCTCAAAGGTCGTCGATATACAAAATGAGTGACGAGTATGAAGTCTATGAAGTTGAGATTTTCACATCTCATTACGATAATTACTTTTGAATTTTATCATATAGCATCAAATGATACATTAATAACAAGCACATATTTACATTTTCATTTCCTTTTTCGAATACATTCTCTTTTGAGCTAGTGTGTTTAATAATAACTGATCTGATAATATCTCACACAAAGGCTATATTTGTACAATATTTTCCATGTAGATAAGTATGATAATATGCTGATAGAATTTTCTTTTATGTCTGCTAATGAATCCTTTTTTCTTTATTACCTTTTGTAAACGAACGAATGTAATAGAGACGTGAATTTATCATATCCACATAATTGTTGCTACACCCTACACTTCATAAACCTTCTAAATATGGAACGAATTTTGAAACATAACTACAAAATCAAAAAATATTATTGTCGGAATCTAGTCGCTTTGGAGAATGTTGACGAATCTTTATTTTGCTTTCTTTGTACGTCAGGTTTTGTTCCAAGTATTGCTTGAACGTGAAGCTAGTAAATAGGATAGAGATGCATCATTAAAATAACGAGGTGCTCAAATTACGACCTCACATAGTTTATATTTTTAAATTGAAAAATAGGAGCTTCGCGTCAATTCAAGTACCTACAATTTAACGTGCAAATTTTCCAGAAACACTATTGTAATGAAATATATATTTTCTCGAGAAAATCGTATAAAAGAGCCCTATAAATGTCATTTGGACTAAATAATAAAAATCTAAAAATTGGACAAGAATTTCTCCCAAATTAGTTTCGATGTCTATGAGGCTATCAGAAGGCTATCGGATAAAATGTCCAATAAACTGCCAACTTTATTTTCTTAATATTTTTATTTTTACGAAATCTCGGAATTCTGGTAAGAAAGAATACGGGAATACAATTGTACCCTGAGGACTATTCGGTATAGAATTTGATTTCGAGAGTTAGAGGCGGGTCAGACTTTTCTAAATATTGAATAAAGCCGCCATTTCATTATTTTCTATTTTAACTTTGGTGGAAAAATATTCAATAGCTTTTGGTTTTATTGTGCTAAAAGTTTGAGCGTAATTGACTCAACGCCGCCCTTAATAGTAGCTTTGCATTTCTATTAAAAGTTTTCGAAAGAGAGAAGAGTAAAAAAACAAGCTTTTTACTGAAGCAACCGCCCAAATAAGACATGCTTCATGTTGGTCGTCTAAATTATCAAACCTCTAAGTATGTTAGTTGTCAAAAAGTGGTTGGTTTGATTGGTCATAAAATAGATAGGATTATTATCATTAGAAAATGCCCCAAAAATTGAATCCCATTCGAAGATTACTTGCGGACACTTACTGCAGATCTGCCATATTTATAAATTGTCCTAAGTTGCAGGGCTAATGAAATTGGAAACGGAAAAAAAAATATCGTAAATATATAAACTTAGATGGGTATATATACAATTATAACATAAAATATCGCGGTGCTTTCCAAAATTAAATAGAAAAAGTAATTACATAAAATAATAATCTATTATCACAATAAAATTAGAATAAGAATTTGCTCTAGCTAAAAATAGCAACACTGCCTAAAATCACGGAGCCTTGTTGTATTCGTCTAGAGCGCGCCCCTAAATCGTTTTAATTTTGTTCACATGACCAGATAAAGAAGGATGCAAATATTGCCAGAGCAAGCCTGACCTTAATCGCAAATGAGCCCTTAGGGCGCGTTTGGGTTCACGCTCGGTGCACTCAGAGCTTGCACTTTTGTCTCTCTTCCGTTATTTTTGAAGCCCGACAGCGCTTGATTGTATTTGGTTTGACATATTTTGAGCGCTCCGAGCGAGCTCGATAAACTCCGAGTTTGTGGAGTGGGCAGCAGGAGCGTGCATGCGCAGATCAGATGTGTTTAATCTTTCTGTATAACCTAACCTATTTTCCATGATAAGATAAATAAACAATCCTGAATTTTAACATATATTTGTTAGATGGATAGTTTTAGCTATTTTGTTTAAATGGTAACAGTCAAATGGCTAGTAAATTCTGCATAATTGTTCACTTTTAATTAAATTTTTTTCGACAGTCCTCATCACTGGTATTATTGAACATATTTTTCCAAGCGAACTTGGCAGCCTCAGAGTGTTTAGGTCCGTTTTATTGTTTATGTAGCACGACATTTTCTGCAGAATAGAAACGAAAATGCGGCAGTTTGGAAATTATCAATAGTAATATAACTAGTGCAATTGTTACGTTAAAATTTTGCCTTAACGTAACTGAAGTTTTCGAATGAATTCAGTAATTATTTCAGTTATTTGTGAGGGTATTTATAAAGCTGTATACCTGAGGATTAATGTTTTTCAGTGATTGATAGGTTGCACATTGAATTTTGCTAGATTTTTACCTTTTTGTTTGGATGCGAAACAATATCTGGTTGTTGATTAAAGGTATATTTTTCAAGGTAATAATGAGTGAATTCTTTGTATTTAGAGGACAGGGTAGTTTTAGGATAATAAAGCCCTACTGTTAGGACAGGAATCCACTTTATTTAGCTTTCGAAAGTTTTCTAAAAGGCCCTAAATGTCGGTGAAAAGGTTTGTTTACTTTCAAATAAATATCAATTGTCAACACTTACGAATCTCGTATTTTCCTTTATTAAAAATTCTGCAACAACACAAATCACTTTAGCACACTTTAAATCGATTTTCCACCCTTATTTCCTTTATTTTTCGCAATTTTCAAATGTTCATTTTCTCAGAAGTATAGTGGGGTTATAAGCCACTTGTGGATTCGTTTCTGGCAGCACTGTTGCCGACGTTTCTTGACCGCTGTGGGTAATAGGGTCATTGTAATTGTAATCCCTAAACAGTCACTGGTCGTTTTGATAGATTTTAGACTGAAGACTGGGTAGATGCTGATTAATAACTTCTATAACTAATTAATTAGTGCTGATTGGTGTTAGGGGAGAGAATTTGATAACAACTTTGAGTTTTGTTGGTCATCATTGTAGTTTGGAGTGTTCCGTTTCAAGCTGATTGTGTTCCGTGCCAAACTGGGTGTTCCGTCTTCCTGGTCGAGATCGGAAATCTGGCACCAGAGGACATCTTAAAAAAAAACTGGAATTCTAGAAAATTTTTCATATTGAAGCCTACCTAATAAATCGCTGAAAAGGGATCGTTCTCTTTTGAATTCGCACGTTGAGCAAACAACAAGTCCTTTGGCAGATTTTACCAGCGGTCCTCTTGGCAACGTTCCTTGGAACATCCACCTTTTTGTGGGATTTTGAAGACGCTGGGATTTCAAGTGGTTGCTGGCTTAAATTTGGTTTTGGGGTGAAAGCTTTGGATTTGGTCGTACCCGTATTTGTAAGCCAACCACACAGAATTTTCTGGAAACGAAGTCTACGCCATTTTGTTGGTTTGTCATGTGAAGAGCACAGCACGTTTTGTTCAACTAGAAGCCCAAATTGTAACCAGGGTTTTTAGGCTTTTTAGTCTGGATTTTACTTTCACCATTGGGTTTTCCTCTTTGATGGTTCGCTAATCTCGAAGTTGAGGTGTCAAGAGTACCCACAACTCTGAATTGTAACGGAAATTCACATTTTTAAGAGGGGAGTCAATAGAAGTTGATGAGGTCTGTTATGCAGGTTGTAAGGCTGTCAGAAGACAGTTATAGAAATGGGTGTTTAGACTGCAGGGAGGACCAAAAGGGGTGATGTAACCGTACATGTATTTAACGTGTCTTAATTACTATTTTAAATTATTATTTCTTATATATACTTAACATATTTCCAAGGTTGTTTTACTGCCTTAATTATTACATTGGGTGTACAGTACCAATGATTGTTAATGTACTCTATTTAAGGTGACATTTTTGTACAAACCCGCCCCGGTATACCATGGTATAAGCGTGCACAGGTTTTAATTATTATTATTAACATCTTAACTATTTGTTCTCTTTTACCCTCATTGAACTAAGGTAGTCAAACATTTATTTATTGGTAAATTTTGAATATATTGGAGTGTCTTATTTGAGACCAATACAAATTGGTCCTTGCTACCTTTTGGTAATTTTCACATTTAATAATAATAATTTCTGTGGTATTTTACATATTGCCTTTGCAGTTTTGAACACATACCCCCCCATTTTATTAAATAGATTTTTAATAATTGTTTTTAGATTGGACTCTTATTTTTATCCCTACTGACCTCAACCAAACTAAGGTAAAGTTGTTTTAAAGGATAGGTACATTGGGTAGGTACATTTTTATAGGAATTTTGGAGATCAGGAACTTTCTGGTTTAAGTCCGCGGATTGTATTTTATAAACCAGTGGCGCCCTATTAAGCTAACTTTAAATATTGAACCTACTCCCACACCACTGAGTAGCCACGAGCACTTTGTTGCGCTGGCCGCATTCCTTAAAGGTGTCTTACTGTAGCTAGGCCTATTGTGGTTTATTAATTCAGATTTAGTATTCAAACAGTTTAAGGGTAATTTTATGCGCAACACAATGGAAATTATTGATAATTTTTGGGAAATTTGCCCGAATGCATTTTTTAGTGCACTCGTGCCTTTTTTAGTTAAAAACGCATGAGTGCAAATTTGTCGAAAATTATAAATATATTTCCATTGCACGAGTTGTATTTAATGAGAGAATTTCATAAAACAAAAATTTAAATTTTTTGTCAAAAAATGTCAAAACACCAGTTTTCGCACCAGTTAGTATGCAATTATCTGATAATTTGCACTAGTGTAAATTATCGCGTAATTACAATCTGATTGGTTCAAATCAACAATCAAAACATGTCAATTTATTGTTGGAATACCAGTTTTGACAGATGTATGAAATTCTCAACTAAAATGCAAAATAAACGAGAAAACTCTAATGCAAATGCTGAATGCGAGCTCGGAATTAAAAAAAATATATGCTTAGGAAAATAAACAATAATCAGCTGATCGCTCAACCCAGCATTTTGGCACAAGTTTATTTGGCTTGACACGGTGTACTCCCTGTGACGTCACGTTACTCCGTAATCGCTCTGCTCGCTCCGCCGGGCGTCAACCCAAATACGCCCTTAGTATTCGTAGTAATCGTAGTGAGAAATGTGAAACGGGTTTTGTTGTTGATTGGTCCGAATTAGTCCGCAATCTTATCGCCACTCCATGTAGTTCATTCATGTAGACCCTGAGATAGGGCCTTTTTAGTGGAGTAATTTTTTTTTGTCTGGCATTTTGAGGGATGAATGTGGCTAGTTATCTGATGAGAATATAGGTGGTTGTAATTCCTGCCACCTGTTCGAAATGTCCACAGAATGTTTCGCCGGAAAGCTCGACTTCGAACTGGGATTACCGTCTGGCGATTTTTCAGCGATTTTTTCACAACAAAACCTTCCATTCTCTCGATTACCAGACAAAAAATAAACGCGGAAGGTTCTTTTCTTTTCTCTTGGAAGTTGACACTCATCCCCACTTTTTCAGCTATTGAAAAGCATCTGGACCGGTATTCTCGTAAAACAGCTCAAAAACGATACGTTTTGGAAGCGCTAAGCGAATCGCCTGGTATGCGTCTCGTACAGCAGTTTCGCTAAGCGTCCAGTTTCGGTATTCTCGTTGCTAAGCGCAGCGTCTAGATTGAATTCGCATAGCACAATTTGGCATCGCCAAATTTGCCAGTGTTCCGAATATAGAATTTGACAATTTCAAATGAAAGATTGTCAAATAGTCAAATGATATGTTTGTTGGCTTTTACTGAAGAAGCTTATAAATCTGTGTGAAGGCATGTCATTGGTTCCAATGGCTAAGAAGGTAATTTCTCCACAGCAAAAATCACTCTTGATTTCATACCTGGAGGAGCATCCACAATTAGTGAAACAAAAACAAGGAAATCAGCATACCAATGCCGACGCAACAAGCTAAGTGGAAAATTAAATTCTATTCCAGGGGCCATGAAAGGATGGAAAGAATGGAGAAAGGTAAAAATATATTGTGCTTCTGAGTGAATTTTTTTCTTGCACGTAGATATCCACACAAATCTTTTTTTTAAATTAGACTTGGAGTGATCTGAAAACCCGAACAAAGAAAAAAGTTTCGGAGAACAAGAAAGAGCATAATAAAACAGGTGGAGGGCCTCACACAGGCGACATAATCGATGCAGAGGATGACAAAATTTTGGACATCATTGGTAAGTATTGAAGTGTTGTTCAATAAGAGTGGATTGTTTGATTCGTAATATAAAAAAATAATTTTTGAAAATAATACCTATTCGGAGCTACGACTATCAGGAGTTTACCAAACTCACTCAGAATTAAAGCAGCTTTTCAATTTATGTGTAAATTTTTTTCCAAAAAACGAGGTACCTACTAGGTAATTGTTTGCTTTTATTTCAGGAGGAGATATTTTAATTACTGGTCTTGATGCTCCTGAGGTGGAGCTACCTTTACCAGAAAATAAAAATTTTGATATAAGTAAATGGGATTACTTAAAAAACACCCAAGAAAGTGAAGAAAATGAAGACATGGTTGTAATGGCTAACAAAAGACCATCAACATCAAAAGGTAATGGGTCCTATGATTGAACGTTTACGTTATCCGTAACGTACATGTTAGGCCGAGTTTTAACAGTAACGATGCAAGTTCGTATGATGGAAAGTTTTTCATACCAGATTACTGTTATTTCCCGCCTGTTATGTTCTAATTTAACATATCTCCTCAACAGCTCCAAATAACATGCCGTTAAGTGCTTAACGTACATGTTACCAATGTTTTTTTATTTTATTTTTTGAATGACGGGGTAATTAATTCACATAATACAAGAAGAGAATCAAACTAGGAGGTACCTAGGTTATAAGATTCATTACTATTTTATATTAATCAATTATGAGGTACAAAACTTTAATATTAATTCACTATTTGAGGAGTGAATTGGACACTCAAAGAATGCATACCAGGGGTCAACTCCTGAAAAGTTTTTATTACTAAATATACTAGACTTCCAAAAGTTCCAAAAGAATCGGTGCAGTATTATAATTGCTTCATTTCAATATTCCTCAAAGACTAAGGATTTCATCCATTCCAATTGAACTGAAGGTCTAAATTCTAAAAATTTATTCTGAATAATTCTTAGTAGGTAGTTGGAACTGTTTTTTATTTTATATAAGGCAATGGTTCTAGTAGTGCTTTTATTTTCGTGTACAAATGATGTCCACTCATCAGGAGGTGTTTTTTCGCGTCTCGAAGTTTTGAAAAAAATTTCAATTTCAATTTTGAAACCAAAGTGAAGCTAGGTACAAATACTTTCTTCCATTCCTAACAGCCAGCTTAACATTTTCTGTTATCGATTTCGTCAATCATACCGATATAACATTCACTGTTATTTTATATGTTATATATTCCCTGTTAGCCTAACATAACAGGTTTATGTTAATTTTAACGTAAACGTTCAATCATAGGACCCTTTATTTCGACAGTTAGACCTCCTGTGAAGGCATGTGGCACGTCAAGGAATCGCCCTAGGCAGGCCACCAATAGGGCTGCTTTTGATTTAGTTAAAGCTACAGAAGCAACTAATACAATTCGTGAGAAATATTATGCTCGTAAACTAGAAATAATGGAAGAAAGCCTCCAAATACAGAAGAAACATCTTGAAATCCAACAAAGGATTGCAGATGGACTAGAAAGGTTTTTGGAGATAAAAAAGCTAGAGTGAGTGTATTGTCTCAAATAATAAGTTTTGTTATGTTCCTGAACGTATCTTAGGTTAGAAGGATAATAACGCTTAAGGTCAATGGTGTATTTCCCGAGGGCCTCTGGACCAAGGGATATACGTTGACGGAAAGCGTTATTATCTTTAATAGGTATGTTATGTCAACTGTTGTCTTTTTTTAATGTTTAATGGGCAATCAAATAGTATCTATAATTATTTAATGTTTGTTACTTATAGGAAGTTAAGTACCTACTTATTTTGTTATTTGAGGTTTATTATTAAAAACAAAAACCAAATATACATGGGAAGTTACTTATTTTTGAATAAAATACTCATTGTTCAGAAAGGTTTTTTATTTATAAACAATTTTTCAAATTATTATTATTTTATCTTGTACAGAAGAATATTATGCACAGGGCCAAAACTTGAAAAAACTTATTATCCACATTCTGTGCCAATATCCTATTGCTAACCGATACATATTGGTTGTTGAGTGGAACAATGGCCAAAAGGTTACTACGCCAGTCGGAAAACTTTTCAATCTTCAAATCAAATCAAACCACGCTTTATTGTTTAAAGTTCATGAACAAAGCTAATATGAATAACACAAACGATACAGAAATAAAAAAATAAAAATACATATCAATATATGCTATAAAATATAGGTTAATGTCTAAAAAATAAATAAATTAGAACATAACAATAAAAATCTGAAATTTGAAAACATTCCATCGAACAGCTAAGACTAGGTAAAGAGGCCGAAGAGCAAGAACAGCCATAATATGTAAAACGGGGTATCATCATCAAAAAAATTCGTTAAAACTAATATGTTTTTTGCGTCAGAAATTTTTTCACTCCTATCCTGAAAAGATTTTTTATAATTTTAGTTTGTTGACCTGTCTGTGAATAAAATTTAAAATAAAAATATTTATTAAAAGAAATATTTCATAATTTCACCTGTTTTAAAAATAGTTCCTGGCCAAAAAATTTCTGATTTGTCGGCCACGTGCCAAAAAGTTATTTTCAATCAAATTATTGGCCCTTTCTGCTATTAATGCATTGTCAAAATCAATTTCATCGTTTATGTGCTCCCCATCATCGTTATAAAGTGGAATATTATTCTCCAGACACAAGTTATGTAAAACAGCACAAGCTGTAATTATTTTTGATGCAGTTATTGGGGCATAGTGTAACACTCTATCTCTAAGGAGACACCTAAATCGATTCTTTAGTAGGCCAAAACATCTTTCAATTAGAACTCTTATTTGACGCATTTGTTGATTAAACCTGTGTTCTGGCGTTCCGGGAGCTGGCTCTGGCAAGTATGGATTTATTAGCCATGGTCGCAGAGGATACCCAGAGTCACCTTAAAAAATTGTTTCATTAAAAGAAAATTATATTATTAGAGGATACTTCGAAGTGGGGGTGCATAGCACCCAATGAGCTTAAAAGTTTAAAGAGAAGGATCACATCACACCTATTCTGACGGTAAAAAGTATCTATCTATCCAAGTTATAGAACGCCTACCTAATAGATAGAAACTACCCATTTGATCTTCGGGTAGAGTCCTCAAAAATTGTTCCACATTGGAATTCCTCCAAATAAAACTATCATGGGTACTTCCAGGATAGCGTGCATTAACATTCATGATTTTCAGTTTTTCATCGCAGATCTAAAACATATAAAGGACTGGTGACATTTAAGTTTGTATAAATAAGATCTTGATGTCTATGTGTGTTTCATTTGTGTGCACTGTCAAACCAAGTTAATTTTTGCAGCTTACCATCTGAACATTCAAAGAATGAAAGTTCTTTCGATTGACATAAACATGTTCATTCTCCACCGGAGTAACAATGGCTATGTGAGTGCAATCTACAACACCCACAATGCCTGGCACATTAGTTTCAGCAAAAAATCTGGAAAACATTATGCACTATAATATTAACAATAATTAAATTATATAAAATTTAATGTCCATCTGGTATATTATTCGAGAGATAATGACAATATGTCAAAGTCAGTTTAATCCAAAATGATTCCCTAGGGCGTTATTTTTGAATTACGCCTTAGGGCGTTATGTTTTTTTTTTTCAGGTACTTGATTTGTTTTAGAATAGTTTATTCAAAATTCATTCAAAATTTTCTCGTTGACGTATTAAGGATATTATACGCTTGAGGTCAATGGTGTATTTATACGTTAATATCCTTATAATAAATACCCTTGATACCTTAATAACTATAAAAAAAAGTTTTGTTCGGCTTTCGGTTCATATCAAGGTTTTAGGCTAATTTTAATTTTTTTTTTATCACAGCACACAACCACTTCAAAAAAAAAACTATCAACTTCGTTTTAGAAGAATGTGCGCAGAATAGTATAGCAGAATAGGATATCGAAATATGGGTACCTTTCCCTGGTATTCCTCAATTCCTCTAGGGTATTGGGATAGTGACAAAATCTGTTAAGAATTGCGGGCTGGTTGAGGGCATCTAACACCTTATGTAAACTGCGGGAAACCGATGGTTGGCTCATTGTAATTGAGTGGTTTCGGCCAACATCTAGCTGATAGCTACCCGCTGCAAAAAATCTCAGCGAAGATAAAATCTAAAAAAAAAAGGATGTGAGTATTAATGTTATAAGTTCATTAAACAGAAAGAGGTAATTAATTATTTGCAATTGGTGAAGAACCCGAACTATTGCTGATGCTTACCTTGATACGGTTGCTGATTGCATCCACCCTATTTCTTTGAGGAAGGAATGGTTCCAAAAGCTCCTCTAAATTTTCCACATCTTGTTTTCTCAGTCTATATAACTTTATAAAATTGAAATCGGAAAATTCAAATGGATCATCGGGAATGAACCGTTGTCTTTCCATTTCATTTTCTAAATTGTCCAAGAGGATTCCCCCAATATATGGAAATGCCATGTTTACCGGAATCGGATATGACAATTTGCTCGAGCACTTTTATTGGCACAAAAATTCTTATTCGGAATTAAAAGAATAATGGTCAGCGCTCAGAGTGACAATGACAAAACATGAACAGACAATTATATGGGTTATGATTTTCCAGGCGAACAGCAAAACAGCAACCAAAAGGTAGCTGTTTTCAAAACGCTTAGCGCTTTAGAAAAACGCATAGCGTTAAATAAACGAGAATACCTATCACAGGTTTTTAGACAGGTGCTGAGCGACTGTCACCTCAAAAGTGGTTAGCGAGTCAAAAACGCTGAGCGTTTTTGACTACGAGAATACCGGGCCTGGTATTTTTTATGGGTGAATTATTTATCAATGTCAATCTTATTTAGAAGCCAAAAAATTTGAGATCAATAAATAAAAATTCCTCATGCAAATCAATTTTTTTCTTCTCCAAATTTTCGAACGGCAGGCAAGCATTAAAATCACCCATATTCTCATCAGCTTAGTAGCCACATTCAGCCCTCAAAATGCCAGACAAAAAAAAAATTACTCCACTAAACAGCCCCTATCTCACGGTCTAATTGTTACGATTGTTCGCTGCAGAACTCAAGCGTTTTTATGAATATTGAATGACTTGCTCTTACATACATTCGGATTTTTTTTTCACATTCTACTAAATTCCCGCTGAGAAGTTAGACGAACATTTCGAATTAGTCTCTTTCAGGAAGCATGCCCACCCCACCAGCCAAGCAGCCTAAGGTTTAGTCAAGATATTACTTGCTGACTCTTCCATAACATTGGCTTTGGGAAAATTTGCTAATTACTTGGGTAAAGTTTTGCGAGGCGAGTAGAATATGCGACACCTGTTAGATGCATTTATCAGGAAATAGTATTTCTTGCAAGGAATTTCCACATTGTACATACATTCGATACAAGAATGTGATATAATATTGGATCAGCTGAACTTGCTTTGACTTACGAGTAGAACATCTTTTTTGGCGATCTCCAAGCAAAAGATTTATCTACTATTTGCGGCATATGTTGGAGCATTTAGTGTTTACGTTTTTATTTGTATCAATTTTTTCGAGGGAGAAATGCTTATTTACAGAGTAGCAAAGAAGTAGCGCATAATACTTGCATCTAACTTTTAAGTTACCTTTTTTT